ATCCAACTACGATCCCAAAAAAGGCTGATTCCGGCCTCCATTGGTTCTTTGATCCACTGTGCATTCTCCACTTGAGAGCTCCCTAGGTTGTACAGCAGTGTTTGATGACTGGCTCTGTCCCCCATGCTCATGTTAAAGGGCAGAGGAAAGTGTCCACACACTTGGAGAGAGTCCCATTCCAAGCCCCATAGCTGGGATGGTATCTGGGCTGCCATCAGCTATGAGGGATAAACCCTGGGGGTGGCAGGAGGCACAGGAGTGGGTAAGGATGGTAGAGAGGTCTGTCCTACTGAAAGAAGCACACGATGGGCCATGGTGGGGATTAGAAGAAGATGGTTTCCCTTCCGTTTGAGGGTGGGGGAGTGCAGGGGAATCCATGGCAATGCAGCAGGGAATGGAAATAAGCACACTGTTGAGGCAAACCTTAAGAAATCTGAAGCCATTTTATTTCATTTAGAGACTACAATGCATTATGCGTAAGTTATTTTGCCTTGAAGTTTTATGGACAAGGACTATGCAAGGACTCAGAAATATCAAAACAGCCAAGGCTTCGGGTGATGGAAAATATAAACAGATTTTTTTAATCTATTAAAATTGACTTTAGTATTAGAGCATTCATGTGATCAATTAAAACTAGGAAGAAAATGAATATATTCGTGGTTGAGACAAAAAAATTCTCCCAGATTTTTTTTTTCAAAATGTGCACAATAATTGATTGACTTGGGTTTTTCAGGCATAACTCCCTCGGACCATCTTTGCCACAACTGAAAATTGCAGGGTATCCCCTGAGCCGTTGGTGAGAAGACATCCTCTGTGTCCAGCAGGACAGGGACAACCCTTAACAAAGTGAAAGATCTTCTAGAAAGATCTGAACCTTCTCACCCATCAAAACTCTTCCTGGTGACTAATGTCCCTTCAGTAGAGGAAAAATGAAGCTTTTATACATATTTAAGACAAGATTTAACTTGCTACCAAATTCTTGCTTCTCGAGAATCCCCTGGCATTGGGCAGTCAGCTAAGAATAGAGTAAAAGAAGTCACCCCTTGCGTTTACGCAGCATCGGCTCCCTCTGCATTCATTGTGCCGGGTGCTCTCCTGTCTGCTCTCCTCCGCTCCCAATACAACCCCGTGATGCATGCTTGGCTGCTGCTGTTTCACACGAGAGAACAAGGTGGTGCCAAGAGCTTAACTAGCTCAGTAAGAGGTGCTGCTGGGCCCTGGCTCACCCCATCTTCATCCTGCACATACCCACGACAGAGAGTTGATTGTGCCCTGATTGCTACATGATCATCCATATGTTATTCTATGGCTGGGGAACCATGTAATAAAATGGCTCAAGAAATAGGACCCTCAACCCAGATTAGATCTGGGTGCTGTGAGTTATAAAAGACCACTTTGGGAACAGCCTCAGGGTATTGTGCTGGGGTATAGATTGGCACAGTGGCTGGAACCAAGGGTTCAAACACAACAACAATTGTGAGGATGGCACAGGACCAGGCAGTGTTTTGTCCTGTTGAACATAAGGTTGCTATGAGTCAGAACGGACCCGATGGCACCGAACAGCAATAACAACAACATGGATTAGGCATTGGGATGCTAACTGCAAGGTCAGCAGTTCAAACCCATCAGCCACTCCTTGGGAGAACGATGAAGCCGTCCAGTCCTGTAAAGATCAACAGTTTCAGAAACTAGAGAGGAGTCCTACTCCGTCCTCCAGTGCCCTTATTGGACCTGACGATTCCATGGCAGCGGGTTTGCTCTGAGTTTTCAGTGTTCGTTTGAGGTGGATTTGGTTACGGGAGGCCTCACTCAGGCAGGAGACTGCAGCTGCCAATTTCAGCGGGTCTCCTTGGGGAGCTGGGAAGGCTAGAAAAGCCAAGTTCTCCAAACATGGCCCTGCTAACAGCTCCTGGTGTGCCTTACCCAAGAGTTAATGCATTAATTGTGACTTCACGAAGCCGCTTGGGTCTGAGAAAGACCTGGCATTCCAGGCCAAGCCACTTGACTCCAGGAACAGGGCTCTCTTCACAGTTCCAGGCTGCCTCCCTGTGGGCACGCGTGTCAGTCAAAAAGTCTTCTCAGGAGGGCTCCACGTCATACATTCCAAACACAACGTCCTTAAACACAGTCTTGTGATGAATGGGTGGCTGCAGAGAAGTTCTGTCCACAGTACTCCTGTCTTAGCCTTGTTAGTGGGCCTTAACAGAAAAAAAAAGGCTCACCCCCAAGCCTCTGGTCCTTAGTCACCCCTCAGGTCTCTAACTGAACCCACGCCCATGGCTCCATTTTCAGCCAAGTGACAGACAGGCCTGTAAGGGCAATAAGAAGAAGAATTGGGGCATGCACCCCTTAGAATAACCAGCCATTTGAGAGCAAAGGGGCAGCAACGGACCCAAGGACAGCGTTCAGAAGGATTAGGAAAGAGAAACGGAAAAAGGAAGCACAGGAAGTGAGGACGGTGATGGTGCGCGAGTGAGGTGAAGCAAACGGTGCATGAATTGTTGAACGTCAAGCTGTTGTTGGCTCTGCCGGCCTTCGCTCCATTTACAATACAAAGTTTAGGGGGGAAAGAGAGCCGATCAAAGCGGTGGCTTTTAAGGGGATCTGCTGGGCCAGTTCACTTCCAGGCCGAGAAGTCAGCTTTGGCCACGGGGCTTTTGATATCTCAAAGGTGCAATCTTCATAGGTTTTTCCTCAAAGGACACAGGAGGATCCGAGAGGCTTCTCTGAAAGAAGTTTAAGAAAATAGAAAA